CCTAAGTGGATATAATAGTGGAACTTTCATGATTACCCACTTAAAGATCAAAGTATTATATGCTGTGTTTTTTGTTAGTGCTATGAAAGCGAAAATGCTATGTTGGCACTCCTACTTTACTGGGCACTAGTGAATGTGTGCTTATGCTGGAGTAGACAAAAGGCATCCTTTTCTCCTTTACTTAAAGCAGGGATGGGGAACCTTTTTTCTGCCAAGGGCCATTGGATATTTATAACATCATTCTCAGGCCTTACCAAATTCTCAACTTAAAAATTAGCCTACTATATTTGGTCAAACCTTTAATTAACTCACCCCTAAATGCTTGCCAGAGCCAGACCGAATGATTTGAGGGCCTTACATGGCCCGAGGGCCAGGTGTTCCCCACCCCCACTTATAGTCTGTTAAGTGTTTTGTGCGGGTTTGCTTAAAACTCTTTCTGTATAAATCAGTTCATTAGGTTTTCGGTTGGGGTAGAGCCCTGCAACCCTTCTTCCTGTCAAAATTCTCCTACCAAGAGGGTGTTCTACTGGTCTAGCTCAGCATGAATAGGAGATAGCAAACAACTTTGCTGCTGTGGATGAAAGGGGCCACATGCTAACCTGACAAGCTCAGGAAAGGCCTGCATGGCTGTCCTGCAGACTAAGAGCCCTAAAGTAACCACAAAGGATGGTCTGAAATTAAACTTTAACTAAAAGCAGTTATGGTGGGTAGTCACCTCCTAGGCTGGTATCTTCACTGACAAGGTCAACATTTACCTTAACTGAGCTATCTTTTTGCATCTATAATATACCCTTTGAAATGTCTAGGTAACTTCCCTTTTTCCAGACCCCTTGGGGCACAATCTAATGTGCTGGGCGCCAGGACAGATACCACAAATTACTTCATTATCATGTTAATTGTTCCTGCACCCACCTAAGTATGTGTCCATCATTTTACTTTTTATCCAATCCCAGGGTTCCCTCCCACCCGCCTCCGCTTTGCTTTCTCCCGCCTCTCTAGTCTATCACCAATGGATTTCATGTAACCCACCTTCTTCCCTTTCCTTTGATTGCAATGTATAAATACAAATGTAACCCTCCAACCTCCGGAGCATTATCTCAATTCTTAGAGGTTCTGCTTCCTGGCATATGTCGACAGTTTGCCTCAAATAAACTCACAAAATTCTTTATAGGTTTCAATGGTTTTTACGTTAACACTGCTCATCTGTCTGCTTTGATTTAGTACATTGGCTTAGCACACCGATTTTCAACCGGTGTGCCGTGGCACACTTGTATGCCAAAAGAATTTTTAAAACCTGTCTAGTCAGGGGCACTGACCTCTTTTCCCTTAGATCAGTGGTTCTCAACCTTCCTAATGCCGCAGGGCTTTTATTTTCAATTTGGAACTTGGAACAACAGACCACGGAGCGATCCCATTTTGCAAGTCTTGCCAAGGCAATGCCGTTCCACCACCCATTTTGGGGATGAGTGAGCTGGACATTTGGGTTATTATGAAGAGTAACTGCACTGCTTTCTGGACCATTTCTAAGGCGTCCTTTACCAAGAAGACATTCCTGTTGGAGAGGAGGATGAACTTTGGAGAAATTCTCTTGCTGAAGCATGAGCTTAGGAGTTTATCTGTTTTTTGGGTTTTTTTGTGGGTTTTTTTTTTTGTGTGGTGGTGTTTTGTTCTGGACACCTCATTCCTTGCAACTCCGGGGTTTTGGTGTCAACATTAAGTGGACCACACAACACATCTGCCGTCTTGACATATTTTGTTTGGTTTTGTTACATCTTACATTATGAGGAATTATTTTTGTACAAATTGTTTAAAAGTTATTTATGCAAGGTTAAAAAAAAAATAGTGGAACTTTCATGATCACCCACTTAAAGATCAAAGTATTATATGCTGTTTTTTGTTAGTGCTATGAAAGCGAAAATGCTATGTTGGCACTCCTACTTTACTGGGCACCAGTGAATGTGTGCTTATGCTGGAGTAGACAAAAGGCATCCTTTTCTCCTTTACTTAAAGCAGGGATGGGGAACCTTTTTTCTGCCAAGGGCCATTGGATATTTATAACATCATTCTCAGGCCTTACCAAATTCTCAACTTAAAAATTAGCCTACTATATTTGGTCAAACCTTTAATTAACTCACCCCTAAATGCTTGCCAGAGCCAGACCGAATGATTTGAGGGCCTTACATGGCCCGAGGGCCAGGTGTTCCCCACCCCCACTTATAGTCTGTTAAGTGTTTTGTGCGGGTTTGCTTAAAACTCTTTCTGTATAAATCAGTTCATTAGGTTTTCAGTTGGGGTAGAGCCCTGCAACCCTTCTTCCTGTCAAAATTCTCCTACCAAGAGGGTGTTCTACTGGTCTAGCTCAGCATGAATAGGAGATAGCAAACAACTTTGCTGCTGTGGACGAAAGGGGCCACATGCTAACCTGACAAGCTCAGGAAAGGCCTGCATGGCTGTCCTGCAGACTCAGAGACCTAAAGTAACCACAAAGGATGGTCTGAAATTAAACTTTAACTAAAAGCAGTTATGGTGGGTAGTCACCTCCTAGGC